CCTCCCTCCCTCCCTTCCTCCCTCCCTGCCACCCTCCCTCTCTCCCTCCCTTTTACCCTCTCCACCCACGGACCATCCGACTGTCCACGGCCTATCCCTCTTCTCCCCGAAGCACGTCGCCTCCCTCGTTCGTACATCACCCGTCTCTTCCTTCCTCCCTCTCTCCCTCACTCCCTCCCTCCCTCCAGCTTCCACACGCCCCAAGTCCTTCGCACCCTGGGACGACTGCTGGTGGCCCGGGAAGAGACCCGACAGGAGGGGGACGCGGCCTGGTCGCGCTACGTTAAGGAGGTGGACGAGCGATGCGGCGGGAAGATGCAGGCGGTGGTGGAGGTGCTGGCCACCCTCGACGCCCTCTTGGCCCTGGCGTCGATCGCGTCCCGCCCTGGCTGGGTCCGGCCTACCTACGTGGAGGCAGAAGACGAGGACGCGGGTAAGAATGAGGGAAAAGGCCTCCGGATCTCCATCCAAGACGCCCGCCACCCGGTCCTGGATCACGTCTTCACCTCTTCCTCCGCCCCGACCTCCCTCTCGTCCTCCTCTGGACCGGCCTCCGGCGTCGTGCCCAACGACGTCGACCTGGGCGTGGGCCTGGAATCTCCGGGTAGCTGTTTGGTCGTGACCGGCCCCAACATGGGAGGGAAATCCACCTACATCCGCACGGTCGCCCTCTGTCAGCTCTTGGGCCAGCTCGGCTCCTTCCTCCCCGCCACCTCTGCCTCGCTCCCCATCCTGGCAGGGATCTACACGCGGATGGGAAGCAACGATGACCTGGCTCGGGGCCTCTCCACCTTCATGGTGGAGCTTTGGAACGCAGGATTCATCCTCAGGAAGGTGCAAGCCACAAAGGAAGGCGGGTGTCGGGGGAGGCGACAGAATCTGGTCATTCTTGATGAGTTGGGAAGGGGCACGGCCACGTACGATGGGATGGCGATCGCAGAAGCCACGCTCAAGTACCTGGCGCGGCGGGTGGGATGTCCGGTACTCTTTGTCACGCACTACCCGCAGCTCGGGGAGGTGGGTAAGGCGGAAGGGAAGGAGGGCGGGAGGGAGGAAGGGCTCTGGGTGAAGGAGGACGGGACGTGGAAGCCGAAAGTAAAGGCGGGGCACATGGCCTTTCTGGAAGGAGGAGAGGGGGAGGAGGAGGGAGAGGGGGGGAAGAAGATGACCTTTCTGTATAAATTGAAGGAGGGAGGGGCGGCTCGCTCGTACGGGTTGAACGTGGCGCGCATGGCGGGCATGGACGAAGGCTTGTTGAGTATGGCGAGGAGAAAGAGCCGGGAACTCGAGGCTAAGTTTGAGGTAATGATGGAGGGCGGGAAGGAGGAGGAGGTGCCTGTCGACAAGGGTGTCCAGGAGGAGGGAGGAAGGGTGGCGGAAGAGCAGGAGGAAGAGTGGGGAGCAGGGAGGAAAAAGGAGAAGGAGGAGGAGAAGGACGATGACGAGGAAGGAGAGGAAGAGGAGGGGATGTACAGACAGCTTGAGGCAGCGGTGGGGGAGCTCGGCGTCCTGGAAGAGAGTGGAGTCAGTCAAAGGGAGTATGCGCGACGGCAGCGGGCTGTGCTGACGTCACTGATTGCGCTCCAAGAGAAGGCGAGGGCGATGGAGGGGAGGAGGAATGAAAGGGCGGGGAGGGGGGGCGGAACATAAGGAAAGCTTCCTGTACTCTACCGAAAGAAGGAGACAAAGAATGACGGAAGGCGACCCGATGGAGGATAATTTCGCGCCCGTTCTCTTTCGTATTTTCACACCAAATCTCGACACATTTCGCACGCATGCGTCATCAAATCCTATGCTCACAGTGCCCTAACAGCCTTTCCCACTCCCCCTACCCTGTCTCCGCCCTTATTTTGTACACGTGGATCACTCCCGGCGCCCGAAACTGCTCGTCCTGGGCCTCCGCCGGCACCTCCTCCACCACCAGCCCTTCCTGCCTCATCGTCGCCATCAACAACGCATCTGTCTGGGCGCTACGGCTCTGGTACGCCATGAAGCAAATCGGAAAGTTCCACTCTTTGCGGCTTTTTGGATTTCCCTCCCCTGCTTCCTCTCCTCCTTTTCCACCTTGGCCTTTCCCGCTGCCTTCTTCGCCGCTTTCGGCTGTTTCGTTCCCCCCTTTCCCGGGTCTTTCCAGACCAGGCACAACCATACCTG